GAGGCTGCAGAGTAGCCTCTTTGAAATACAAGTATGATGCACTCGCCGCTTGTTATCTTATGGCAGTATGAAAATACACAAAAACAAAAGCACCCCAATAATAATTCCCACGCCCAAAAATCTCCTCTCCTGTTGCCAACTAAAGTACACAGAGACTACTGCAAAATTTGCGTGGACTCAACAGTCTTTGTTTGCAGTTGCGGTTGTCATCGTCGTCGCCGTCGCCGTCGCCGTCGCCGTCGCCGTCGCCGTCGTCGTTGTTGGAAAGGCTTCATCTGAGTTTCATGAAGTTGAAAGCCACAAAATTAGTTTTTCTTTTGGATTTGCATAGATTAAACTGCAATGGAGTTCGCGTTTTTTGGTTAGACGGAAAGTATGTCATAATGATGTGGTCATTGTTGTTTGTGCTGTTGCTTGGAGATTTTTTTATTTTGTTGCGGGCTGCGCAAGCTTTTTGTTGCTTGTTAAGCTGTGTGGCTTGTATTTTATTTTTACCGAATCTTTGGAATAAATATATATGTATATATACTTCTTTTAAGTACTGTGTACTGTGTATTGTGTACTTTCTACTCTGTGTTTGTATTTGTATTTATCTTGGCTCTGGTCAAGACTTGTCACAACTTTGGCTAAGACCATTTTCAATTTTTGGCCAGACTGTCAACGCCTGCGATTTGGTCGATAAATTGTTAGCGATTTGCTGTGGCTGCGGCTGCCTGGCTTTTCTGTTCCCCTCTCATCTACTCAGTTTCTCTCGCTGAGATTTCTCCTGATTTTTGGCACAAACTTTGCGCCGCACAAAAACTCATTTAAAGTTTTAAAGTGTAGTTTTTGTTTTTTTTTTCCCTATTTTGTTGTTGATAGATGCCTAACTGACTGGCAGCCAAACCCTTGCGACCACGCCGAACCCTTAAAGTTTTGCTGCCGCCAGTTTCACTGGCTGGATGTGTCAGCGATGGGGATTAGGGCAACGCGTAACTTACTTCACCTCTATTATTTTTGGCCATCCTCTAGTTAAGGTTCACATGCGGCAATCA